ATGTTTTATATATAATGTTATTTTGTTTGTCTATATACATGATGTTGTATAACTTACATAAATCTTTTATCTATTGTGCAACACAAAATTCATAATTTATGACGTTGTATAACTTACATAAATCTTTTATCTATTGTGCAACACAAAATTCATAACTTATGAACCATAATAATTTACAATCACCCATCTCTTCTAAACACAACACAAGAAGAATACATAATCATGGTGATTCCTATCATCCTCCCATTCTCCATCCTTTGTAACTTCCCGAGAATTAGAATTTTCCTGACATCCTAAATGAGCATGAAATATAGCAGTTTTTAATTCCCACCTCGGGCAGTAAAAATTGTCCATTTCTGATCAATCATGACTTAAACAAAAATTAGCTCTGTGATCAGAATGATAGTTTGGTAGTGTATGAATGTTAAACTTATGCACAAAATAAGCCAAACCCTATCAAAATTATCACATCAAAGAAGACTGTATTCTGAAAGTTGAAGATCCGAACAAGAGAATTCTAATTCTAATCTCAAAAGTTTGCAACTCTTCCCCCTAATCACTGTGTCATGTGTAGCAGTTGTAGTGACTAGTGAGAGTATCGATCAACTTTTTCTACATTGTTTCTTTGTGCTACATTTATGGCATTAATTATACGTGAAGGTTGGATTGAATCAGGTTATTCCAATTGGTGCACTGCTTTATTTGTGGAAAGATATGGACGCCTTGAAAAACATATAAGGGCTTCCATTTTTTGGGATTGCACTATCAATTGAATAAAAAGAAATAGAAGGATCTTGGATGAAAAAGTTGAGCGGGAGGAATTCCTACGGGAGAGAGTTACATTTTTAGTCTCTTTATGGACTATGGCTAGTAAGGAATTTCGGGATATTCCTTTCTTCCTTGTTCATCAAAATTGGTTTCGGCAATGTAACTAAAGGGGTGGGCAAAGGGGGTTTCTATTGTAACTTTTTATTTTCACTTTGACTTTTGTTATTTTTAATTTCAGTTTTCTCTACTAGTACTTATGGTTGGATTACTTGTCCACCATTTTGTACCTTTATCTTTCTTTCATGAAAGTTAGGGTTCCCTCAAAAAAAAAAAGTAGTTTCAAGTTTGAACTCTTGAAACTCCAAATCTTAGCAAACAAGCAGTCTCCAAATGCAAGTTTCAAGCAGTGTCAGATACATCCTTATGATTGAAGGACATCGTTTGGCATATTCAAATCAGTTCGTTCAAAAACAACACTCATTATGATGCTTGATAAGTCGCACTATTCCTAAAATTGTAACTTATCAGGTTTCAGTCTTTCTGACCAGTAAAAAAATAACATGCTGATAAGTATAAACTCAAATTACCGAAATTCCAGATGAACAACGTGCATCTTGGTTCCAATACGTTGTTTTCTTGGATTTAACCTGAGCAGAACTGATGATCCTTCAAATGCAGGAGTAAATAGGAGAGCATTGGTCAGGAAATCTGAAAGGACTTGCTGAAGCCTCAAGTTGTCCCCATACAAGGACATGGATGACACTTCAGCAGGTGAATCATATATGACCTGCACCTGACGCTCACGACTCAGGATCATAACTTGATTTTTAACCACTTCCAGAGCTTCCCCAAGATTAAATTCACGAGTGACCATTTCCATAAAGCTGAAAAAGGGGTCGCAATTATCACAAGGCCGAAAATACCAATTCAAGAAAGGCTAATTGTGCATGCAAAAAAATCACACTGCATGAATGTAATAATTTGAAGAATAAGCAATCGCATGGATGATTTTTGCAACAAAAGATTAAAAATATCCCTTGAAGGCAGGGAAAAAGGTAAATGTGTGAAGAAGGAAGAACAACAACTAATCTAATGAAAGAAAGGCCCCTTAAAAACAGTGGACTATCGTAAGAAAGGGGACTTACGCAGGCTCAAACAAGATTTCATAAAGCTAGATTGTCACCGAACAAATCTTATTGACTTATTATTAGGTCTCTCTCTCTCTCTCCCCCTCTCTCTCTCACACACACACACAAATTCTGTCTCTTTGCAGGACCATGTAATTGTCTTCTATTATCCTTGTTTCCTTTTACTTTATCCTTACTTCCTTTTCTCTCTTTTTGTTCTTTTCAGATCATTCTTTGTTGATTTTGTTATCGAACGTGAATCCTTTCATATTTGAATTCAACCATCATTATAACAACTAAAGCTACAACAACCACTACTAATTCTAACAATAATGCCATGCTTATCAAAGTGCCTCAACCAATTATTTGGGATGGGCAACATAAATACTGCACAATCCGGCCGGAAAAGAAAAATTTTGTCTCAATCTAAACCATACAACATATACATCCTCTGTCGTTTGATCTATTGGATCCTTTGATTTTGTCCCCCCAGTGTAGAGACCTACAACATTCTGATGCATAACATAAGGGTGTAGAGACCTCTCACAACAGCTAAGAAGCATACCTCACTGCAGCCATGTAGCTGTTTTTGTCATATTCCTATATTCTTACGAATGATCAAGCTATGCCACCAAAAATGATCATTCTTTGTTGGCATAAATCAACAACCACCACTTTATCTACGATCTATTGCTTTTCCGTTTTGATGAGAAACCATAAATTTTATATAAGCAATGTGCAGATACAGGAAGTCTGAAAGATGAGGAATGCCACAAGCTAGAGAGAGAAACAAAACAGAGGAGTATGACTAAATTTGATAAACACCCTGGAAACCCCTACAAAGACCCCATCTGACACTGTAAGAAGTGAAGGAACAAGCTCAATGGGTAAAAAAGTAATCTGCAAACTTCTTGAAATTGCATTTATTCTTTCCCTCAATGTAAAACATTTTCTAGATATCCTATACGCGAATGTATCCTTTAAAAAAAACACCGGATGCTATAATAAACGAACTGAGTCTGTCAGATAAGTGTTGGAATGATGTTCTAGGGACTCCGAACACACCAACAATATACTGTATGAGGCCCTCCTGGTTGAAGCTTGGCCTACAAGGCTACAACATTGGACATGTATTAGACACCTCAGATTATGACTTTTCAATCACTTTAGCAACAGAATGTAATATTACAACCACTTGAGACATTTAAAAAAAACGATTTAATCATAGTTGCATTTGGTTACTATTATACAATCATTTACTCCAAAAGTTTAACCTTCGTGTAACTTAAGTATTTATATTTTAACATGCCCCCTCACATGCAGACTAAAATTTTGAGCCCAACACGTAGAAATCTTTTAATTAACAGAGGCGAGATTTGAACATAGGACCTCCTACTCTAATACCATGTTAAACAACTATCTACTCCAAAAACTTAAGTTTTTAGAGAGGGTGTATTCAACAGTTACAAAGGATATATAAACGATATATATGTAGTTACGAACTTTCACATTCACGTGTCCAAATCATGTCCCAATTCTGCATTTATGCATAGGCTCCAATTTATTTGTAAGCTCTGTTTGGAAAATGTTTCTACAATCTATTAGTCCAAATTGCAGTATTATGTATCTTATATATATATACTTACGCACAGATGGGATGAAATCTTTTGATTGAATCACACCTAAAGAAGAAGAGGTGAAAAGAAGTAACAAATAACGCAAAATAATCCTGTAAATGGGACTCAACTGTCTTGCCATCATGAAGAGTCATGCTTATTTGCAGCAACTCAAAACATGTCGATGTCAAGACATACAGTCAAAAGACATTTGCTCTCCCTAATCTATGAACTTTGTAGTCGAGGAACTCTCTCATAAATTTTCCAAAAGTAAATAAGGGGGCCAAGTGGAGATCCTTTCTTTTACAATTCTTTGAAGAATCTGAAAGTCCGAGTCTGATCTCTCTTGGATATGGTTAATAATACTTGCTAATGTCTTTACTCTATATTACCCTTTTGTGGGTCAAGGGTGGGGATTCTCAATAGTGTAAAGATGATAACGGGGATGAGGATGAGGATAGTGAATATGATACCAATAACAATACAAGTATAAGGAAATGCTAACTTGCTACACGACTGCAGTAGGTCAGCACCATGCCCGGTCTTCATAAAGTAAAAACACCTGTCAACTTAATAAAATTTGGGCTCAAGTCAAAAGGTTCAGGAAGAAGGGAAAAACAAGAAGTTGAGACCCATCTTCATCCTTAACCCACATAGCCGGACATGGTCAGCAGTGTGATAATGACAACAATGGGGAAAAGTTGACCAGATTGCAAGGTCAAAGGCACAGCCTATGACCAGTATAGATTGTTCAAGGGTTCACTTTCGACTTAGAAATGGCGACTGCAACTGCCATGTCATCCATGGAGAACAACCATCACTGAAGACTGCAATAGTGGCCGCCATGGTAGGCGACAGACATGATCGACATTTCCTTCACCAGAGTGTGTGAATATGTGTGTGTGTGTGTGTGTGTGTGAGAGAGAGAGAGAGAGAGAGAGAGAGAGGGAGAGAGTATAGATTATGGGTTCAATAAAGGAGGCTGAGCTTGTAGATTGTGTACTAGCGAGAAGGAAATAAGGTTTCTGAAGGATGGGACATTTCTGTCAACAATAAAATGCGCATGCTGTTATCCTGCTGTAGCCATATAGAATGATAGAATAACCTTAGCATATAATTCACTATGCGCTACAGATGGTAAATGAACTCCATATAATCAACACTTGGAACTTCTTGTGGGGGAAGAATCATTTTTCAATCTTTGAAGTGTAAATTCACAAAACGGACCTCGGCCATTTAACTCATATCATATCTCTCTTCAACAAGCTAAATTATTTATTTTTCTATGATTAAGATGGTTTCACAATGTATCTCTCCAACAAAACACACATATTTTGATCTAAGGCCGACAAAAATGCAACATGAATCTAAATCGTGAATATATGTCAACTGTTTGATATCATAAAAGTTAAGAATTCTAAGCTGGTTCAACAGAATGTTGATAATTTGCTGCCACTGCAGCAGCTTGAATTTTACACAGGCCTGCTTGGGACCCTTGTAAAGGATTATAAAGATGCAGCACCAAAAATATATGATATATCTTGTCACAGATGCGTTCATCTCTGCATTTACATATTTAGTCAAAAACTACAACTTACTGTGGAATATTTCCCAAAAGAAAAAACAACTTAGTGTGGATTTAGAAACTAATCGGTTCATCCATTGCATAACAACCATATAAATAAGTTTGAGACAGATGATCGTACCATTCCTCAATACTCTCAACATCGTTGTCATCAACAATCTTAGCTAATTGTTCCTGACACAGCGTGCTCCTCTTCAAAAGCTGCCTCTGCTCTTCACTTAAGTTAGAAGATTTCATTAGATCCTGAACACACTTTATGCCATTTAAAGGATTTTTAATTTCACGACGAACATAAGCTAATTTTGTGAGGCTATTAGCTGCAGCCTGTTCTGATATCCTTTGCACATGCATTGCATATTGAAGTTCTGGACTAGCAACACACAAAAAGCACAAAACCCCTGTTATCCTTCCCTCTGCATTGGTCCTTTTGTTTGCAGAAAGTAATGCTTCGACATGCTTGCCCTGCTTATCAAAGAACCCGAATAACATTTTATCTGCATCCTGGCCGGCAAGTACCCCATTCATTAATATTCTGAGCTTGGTTAATGTATCTTGATCTTTAACACGACAACCAAAATTATCAACAGTAAAGACCTCCCCAAGAAGCATTCTATCAGTGGCTTTTTCCCTCTTGACACCAGACAAATTCTGCATTGCATAGTTCCATTCCAAGCACCGACCGTTATCGTCCATCATAAACACCGGAGGAATAAGTGCACAAGTGTTCCGCAAGATTCCAACATAATCTCCTTGGATTCGGGTATATTTGTCCATAATTAACTTTTGCCCAGTAACATCATGGCCAATAAAGCATACCCCTACAATATTTCCCTTCACATCTCGACTACAACATGCATTTGCCACCAAGATAACAGGACCATTACTTTCCTGAGGACCAAATGTTTTAAGTTTGATTTCAACATTTTTCTCTTCTGTACCTGCCATTTTAATCAGATTGAAATCCAGCAAAGATATTGGAAGAGTAATAGAAGAGGAAGGACATGTAGCTCAAAATAAATGAAAGAATACTTCACATCAAGAAGACTCAATTTATTTCCAACTCCAACTCACAAACCTACAGAAACTTTTTTTGTTTTTTTGGTCACACTATTATAAGGGAAGGGGGAGGAGTCGAACCAACAAGTGCAGATGTGGAGGTACGAATGGCAGTGAATCGATGCAGGGGCGGGGGGTGTAGTCTCCATCCCCGTACCCGCTTAAAAAATCTACGTCCATCTCCGATCCACCCCTATTAACGGGTATAGTTTTTATCTTCATCCCCGTCCACAAATAAATTTGTAATCCCCGCGCCCGTCCACTTTTCCCACCCCAACTCAACTAACATAATCTAAAATTTTAAATAAATCTAACATTCTAAATAATCCAACATAATTATAGAAAATCATAACATAATTAAAAAACTTGTCATCTATAACATAATCCAACATAATATTATTAAAAATTTGTCTCCCACGTAAATCCAACACAATATCGTGCAACACAACATAATGTAACATAACATAATCCAACATGAAAAAAACATAAAAACACAGAGATCTACACTTTTACAAGCTAAAAATACGAAAAAAAAAATTAAAAACAAAACAATTTTCAAAAGAAAAAATCATTCAATAATATGTACATTTGTCTTGACATATATATATACAAGTATCTCTGACATATATATATATACAAGTGTCAGTCCATCCCCGCATGGGTTTATACAAGTATCTCTGTATACGTCCACCGTTCAATAGGTATAGTCTATCCCCGATCCAAACGGAACGAATTTGAACGAATACCTATGTTTACCCGGTCCACTATCATCCCTATGTGGAGGGTGTTGCCACTCCAACGGACCCTCGGGTCCAACCTTCAAAAACTTTGATTATTCGAAATAAAACATATCAAATATTATAAACCTACAAATCGGGTGGACGGGTTTCAAAACATTTGGATTTTTCTAGTGATTTATACCCATAAAAAGACAAAAAAAGAATGTTAGGCTTGGTAAAGAGCATCATACAGCCAATGAAAATAACATAAGTGTATAGCTGTAGTAGCAAGCCATAAAATACTTTCGCTTCTCTTGATCTTCATTTTTTTTTCCGTTGCTTATCTTTCTGGTGTAGGTGAGGACCTAAACACTAGATACTGATCCCTAGGGGGCCCAAGTTCTCCCTATGCCAACAAAACCAATTCTCTACTCATCAGCCTCAGTTTCTGCATAAAAATGTTAGAAAACTGAAAGTCCAACACATATCATGCTGATCAGGACCAAGTCAAATTTCCAAATCTTACAGAATAAATATCCCAAGGGAAAAATCAACAAACAAAACAATATCACCCAGCAACAAATATTTCTATATAAAACATGAATATTACAAAAATATGAAACTAATTACCAAGGAGCCTAAAGATTATGCAGAGTATTACCTTGCAAAGCTGAAGAAAGCATGTTTTTCACTACGTCAATAGAATCATCCACGACTAAATCGACTAAGAGCATGCCAATAGCTTGCTGCACAGCCAATCCAGTCAGCTCAGCTACTTTAGTATTCCACCCATTTATATTACCTGAGGCACCAACAGCCAAGACGGGGACTGAAGCTGTCTCAATGAGTCGAACCATTTCGTTCGTCACAATACGGAGCTCATCCACTCTTTCTATACTAGTATCGACAAATGGCACATTCACGATCATTTTGGAATCATCTACGATCTCATCTTGCAAAGATCCTCTCAGTATCAGCTGTAAGGAATGGATTGCATCCATTTCCACATCTTCCCAAGGTAAGCTCCGCCTCTTAACCACCTCCAGGAAGACCTTGAATGATGACCTAGGGTGCATCTTTCTTCCATCATCCTTGTCATCCGGATCATGTTTTGCCCCACCCCACTTGATCTCCTTAGCTGTGTGTGACCGGAACCAAAAGACAAAATCTTTTGAAGTTATTTTCACAGCAGCCATTCCACATACTGCATCACCAAGAATGGCAGCACCTGGAACACCAGCTTCCATGAGACTATCAGTACTTAACCCTGTACTCCCATTGTGGTCTTCAAGAAGCCATTCAGCTAGATCTCTGATCTGCGCCTCTGTAGGGGTGACCCCAAGCAACCAAAATTTGTTCTTGTAATACAGTGCAGCTCCATCACACCTAACAAGATCCATCACATTAGGTGATTGATTGACAATTCCCACAGGTGCATCTCTTAGGAGCATGTCGCAAAGAACAGTTTGAGTTCGCAAAATATGCTTCTCCCTCAGTTGAGCTGCCAACTCCACTTCCTTGTTAATCTGAACACCAAAAACTTGAATCAAGAACTCACAGGCATACCTCAAAGGGAATGGAACAAACCTGGAGGTTGTGTGATGACAAACCACCAAGCCCCACAACTTTCTTCCCTTTTGTTGATCACTATCCATCTCATCATCATCCTCATTGATCGTCACCGACATAACAAGAGATGCCAGGGAACCCATATTTGCCATATATTGTGCATGACACCCATGAGCAGCTCTCAGCGTGGATCCACAAAGACTCAATGATTGACTCAATCCCTTGTCTTGCATTACTTTAACTGGTGGTGCCAAGCAATCACATATCATCCTAACCTTATTTTTCATGAAGAGAAACCTTGAAGCTTGTGGTATATCAGTAGCGGGGTAATGCAAGCCAAGATAAGGTTCCAGATCGGGCCTGCAGCACTCAGCAACTACTTCACCATGTTCATCTTCATGAAACTTATACACCATAACTCTCTCATAACCCGTTAAATCACTAACTTCTTTAACTAACACATCACATAACAATGATATATTCCCACTAGGCAAAGATTGCAATCTTGAGATGGCTTTAGCTGCTAGCTTATATGATTTTAACGCTCCAGCAGCCGTCACTGGCACATCAGCTGGATTCACGGGCTCTAAATCTATAACTAATCCAACATCAATTCGATGTAGAATTGCATAGAATGGCTTACCTGAATTTCTACAATGAACCAAAATCGGATTGAGTAGATTAACTTCCCCAAAATTGGTAGCTTTTTGCAGTGCAGCAGCACTTGAGGATCTAAAGAGTGTTCTAACATCCGTTCCAAAAGTCAGAGCCTCTTGCTGCTCAATGCTTGGGACCGCATGAGGGGCCAAATCTAACATTTCTGGGGCGTTTTCGCTGTATGCCAGGACACTAAAGTTCTGTTGATCAATAGCAATAAGACAACCAAAGGGCTGAATGAGACTTCCCCTCTGTATCTT